GCCTAATCCTCTTTCATACAATTGCTTCTCCTTCATTATTTAAGGGGGAAAAATGGCAGCCTGCTAGATTACAGCAGGTAAGGATGAAATGGGGGTTCTGATTGCTAAAACGTGGTTCTGCGATGACATCAAGTACAGCAACCACAATGACGTATTTCCCTATGGGGCGACATAACTCGCTCAAAATCGAATGGCTCTTTTTAACAATGAAATAACCAGCTCATCAAGATCTAAATCTCTTCAAAGACCCATTTGTCCTATTTCTTTACAATACTGTCAACATTTTACTAACAAATTTTGTGGAATCAGTTTGTGCACAAAGAAAGACAAGTGACTCTTGGCATGGTAGCACAATATATAGGTATCTTAGTTGTGGTGGCCATCTTGAATGGAGCTGATTCCTACTGAATCTCATTAAAATTTGTTCAGTAGTTCATGAGATACCCTGCTAATGGTACAAAAATGAACAAACACACACCATACACAGACACCTTTGACAGTGGACGATTAAAACGGACACAGACGATCAACCGGAGCGTAAACTTAGTGGAAAGGTTTCTGTCAGTAACTGTGAATACACCTACATGTTTATTTTTTTTTCTCCTAGGAGAGATAGTAGATGGTTTACAGAGAGCACCGCCCACCATCTCCATATGCATTCATTTCATTTTCTGAACCTGTATGGTTTCTGCGTGACTCCGCTCCTCCTACTCACTCAGCAGCCAAACGTTCTCCGTCTTCAGGAGTTTCTGTGGGCCAAATGTGCGCCGGATCGAGCCAGCTTGACCTCCCGTTGACGACATAGCAGAATACAGACTCCCATCTGAGACATCCAGGGAAAAAAAAGATACAGCAGAAAAGAGTTAGTAAAAAAAAAGGACGAGAGCGCACTTGACAGCTCAGTGCAAGGTTGGGAACGGCGGGGGAGGGGGTGATTGTAGTGACACAAGAAGGAAAATGACTGAGGTTAGAGGATGGGGGTGTGATGGAAAGGAGAACATTAAACACAAATTAGAAATGGAGGACAAAATAAAAGAGACCCTGGAGGACAAATATAAAAATAATATTAAAAATAAGGGAAAGGAAGGAGATGAGGAGCACAGAAGACATGAAAGCAGAGGAGCTCACTGAATAAATGAGCAGCTATCAGTCTTCATGTTCGAAGAGCCCAACTCAAAGCTCTGTCTCCATAGCAATGCAGAGGGGGGGGGGGGGGTGCATGTGAAATCATGGTGAGTAACATCCTAATCAGGGCTGATCGCTATTTGAATGCTACTCAGCTTAAGCAAAGGCCCGGCTCATTGCATCCACAATCACTCCCCATCTGGAAGAGCACCCTGCGGCGAAAACCAAACCCTCGCTGATTCGAGTGCCTCTTCAAACATCTCATCTGCATTAGATGGTGCAAGAACCAGCCAATTTTTGTGTTCCTCTTCACGCAGTATGACTGCTAAAGGTCACTTTAATTAGGAACATCTCTATTTAGTTAATGTGACATGCTGCTTAATAACCACACAGTTAGGAGTTTCATTTCCCGCAGTGTGCACCAACGTTTCCCTTCTGATTTGTCAGACTTGGGAAGCTATGGCATTACACCAGCTGAAGTTTGCCTTTTACAGCAAGCATAGGGAATACATAATGTCAAAAAAGCTACAGCTGTCATATTTATTCTAAAGAATCTGAAAGTTAAACACCGTATTGAATAAAAACAGACAACTATGTGTCTGTTAGATGTTTTTAAATGTTTTTTTCTTCAAATCTGCTTCTGTAAATCACATTCAGGACTGACGCTAACATAATGTAAGGTCCTTCCGATAAAAGACATTTCTCCATTCTTTGATACAAACAGAGGGGACCGTTAAAGGCACATCACTTCTGGGCACCTTGAATTGAAGTGTCGCTCTGCTGCTCCCGACATAGATGAGGTGACTTCAAATAAAGATTTGAAAGTGACATTACTCCAGAATAAGACATGTTTGAAAATGATAGTGAGACGCCTGAAGCTTCACCCAAAAAAAATAAATAAGTAAAAATCACAAAAATTTGAAACTTTGGTTAAGAAAACAGTTAAAATCCAAATTATTCCTGAGTTTCGACACCAATTACTTCCTTAAAAATTATTTTCTCCATTTAATTATGACCCCCAACTGTTTTTTCAGTGAATTTTGTCAACCATATGGAAACGGCTGCACCGGTCAATGTGAAATTTGGCAGAAGTGTAGATGAGTCGGACCCACACTGTGGGGGCTCCGCCTGAAAAGGGGGTGTCTGGACATACAAAAATGCTTATAACTCAAAAACTATTCAACATAGGAGCTTCAGATAATTATTTTGTTTAGCTCTGATGAAGGGCCACCAATGATCCCCCAACCCACCCCCGGACCCTCGCCCAAAATAATAAATCTGTTTTGGTGAGTTCTGAGTTCTGGTGCATTGATGCTTTGTACATGCAGGGGTCATATATGCTACCCACTATGTGGTATCTAGTTTTTCTTACTGATAGCTTTGAGTTGTTTGGGTTGAAGTCATTATTTCGTCTGAATATATTCTGTAAGGTGTCGTGAAGTTTTATTGGAAGCAACTTCATTTATTTGGTGTAAAAATAAAGGGTAGCTGATCTGCTCTATTTAAAGCAATAATATTCTTCACCAGTCTTGTCTTGCTCATTAAAGTAACACAGTATGAAAAAGTAACAGGCATCTTCAACACAAATATGGGATTTATCATTGTTAGGGTCATAACTTTGGTTGGAGTTTGGACTAGTACACAAAAAAAAAAAAAACTGTTGCTAGTGTTTAGGTGCTTTTCTCACTTTTGAATCAATTTTAAAATTATTGTTTAGCAAATTCTAAAATGCAATTTCCGTGTGGATGCATATTTGCAAAATGCAGTTCTTGTGTGGACAGAACCTTTACAAAGAAATGTGTGTGTTCTCCTTTTTTATTACCTGCAGGTAAGTTGATGAACTTCTGCGAAGGGTAGGGTGGTGAAATGTCAGAGGGGGAAGCTATCTGCCCAACACCCTGCACATCTGTCAGCACTGAATCATTTACCTGCAGGATGAAGGTAAAAGATATTAGAGTTGGTTTAAGGCCTGTCTTTTTTTATTACACTGCACATATTGGAAAAAGCCTCACTTCATCTGCAAATGATCATTACTTAGTAAAATTGTTCTTTGAGGATTGAATTACTCTAAACTTTCATATAACCAGCAAAAGAAACAAGTGAGGAAATAGATCAGTGGTTGTTGAGATTGCTGCATTTCTAGGAAAAAGCACTTAGCAGCTGAAGGAGAGGGACCATGCTCTGAGGAATGTGTCTGAAGATATTTACCAGCATCCAGCATCTGGGGCTTCCAGCATTTGTCCCACATGCTATGAATGTGTCATTCACTTTCTGAAGGACGGTGATGAAATTATCACACTCCATCTGTGAGAGGAAAAAAGAATCTCAGTGAGACAATAAATAAATAACAGGGGGAACAAAGACCAGAAATGATGCAAAGGGGGAAGGGAGAGGAATGCACAGATTTTCTGACGGATTAAAGATTAAAAGAAAGAGGGGAGAGACTGTGTGAAAAAGGGATTAGGGGGAAAGGGAGACGAAACAAAACAGGAAGCCTACCAAGGGACTCAAACAGACAGAGGACGATGAAACTGAGGGATATGAGGAAACAAAGCAGGAGCACAACACAAAAGAGATTACTGGAGTCAAAAAAATGGCTCGCTGAAAAAAAAAGCAGATTGGGAGCATTCCATGTTTGTGACATTTCTGGCAGACAGCACGCAAAAGGCTTAGACCTGCAGTACAATGCTGCTATACTGCATGCATCACTTATTCATTAGGTGAAGTAAATGGACTATCCACAGTGTTACTGGATGCAGGAGAAAACTGAACAGGAACTAAAATCACAGGAAATAAAGTCTTGTTTCAGGTCAAATTCTGCTGAAATGCGTCTAAACATGTTTTTCTTCTTTTAAAAAGCAGATAGATCAGAAGTTCAGATGGGCATCTGGTGACAATGAAACGGCCTTACAAAAATTCAAAAACCACAACTAGGTGTGTGTAGGTGGATATGTAGGCAGAGAGATAGGCGGTTGTGTGGGCAGAGATTTTATTTTATTTAGCTCTCTTTTGCTCTCTGTATGCACATTTAAATTCCCAAGAGAAACAGTTTGTGTTCGGGCATGTTTGTGCAGTGATTTTTGTGTAGCCCATGGAAAAATGCATGAAGGTAAAGCAAGTGAGCTGCAACAGCAAGGCTTTGGGTGACAATGAAAGAGATCATTTCTTTAGACCAGATAAGCTTGTGTTGTTGTGGGGTGTTTGTGTCAGTGGTAGATATCAACCTCAAAGCAGTTCCACACAAGTCTTAGCATGAAGTTAAAGATGTGTTATGTTTTAGAAAAGATATGCAGGAATTTTAACTCCAAACTGTAATAGTTTACTTGCAGGTCGTGGGTTATTGATTATGTAGCTGTTTAGCTATTGATTTTTGCTGAGGCACTGCTTTCATTTCCCATTTAGATTCACAGTTACTGCTGCTTAAATCAACTGTAGCAACAGTCTTTCCTAAATATGGTGCCTAACCTTACCCAAGCCTAGTTACAATCCAAACATAGATCACAAAGGAGAAATCTCAAACTGGAAGCCAAGCAATAAAGAATAGCATTCATGCTGCCTCTCATGACAGAGTTACAGGCTATGTTCACATTAAGTCTTAATTCTCAGTTTAGATTTTTTTTCTAAATCCATTTTTTATTGCAAGGACGTTCACATTATATATTACATGTGACCTCCATCAGACTATGATCCCCTCATGACACTGATGCAACCCAAATACACATAAAATTATATGATGTCACATTCAGCTCGCTGTTTACAGATCGACCGTAGCTTACAGATGCTACATGTTAGCATGTCGATTCTGAAGTTGTTGTGCAATCAAAGCAGATTAAATAATTATCTGACCTGCTTGTTTAGTTCAGTGTTTACATTTTAACCTTCCATTGGTCAGATGCTCTGGTGCAGGTTTGCATTTATGGAATGGGAGCAACATGCTAAAACTAAAATACAGATCCAGTAACTTTAGTATCGATACAGTCAGAGTATGGCATTACTATCATATGTTTCTGTGGATTCTCAGTCATCAAGGACATGGAAGATGAAGCAGCTAGCCTTTTTGTTCTGCAAATTTAGATGTGTAAAATTAAAATATTTAAACTGCACAAGGTTGGCATCGATATACTTTTATTTAACCGTTATTTAACCAGTTAAATTCCATTGAGATTGCAGATTTTTTTTCAAGGGAGGCCTGGGCCTGAAGGCACTATTGTATATGTTTTTGGGTGTGTGTGGGAAACTGGAGTACCTGGAGAAAACCCACACAATCACGAGGAGGACTTGCAAACCACACAGAGAAAAACCATAGGTCTGAACCAGGGATCAAACCCAGGAATGAGACATGGTTGTTCAGACTGAGGTCGCTTTGAAAAACATCAAATATGTATTCAATTTAATAACGTGTACATTTTGGATTTTGATAGATATTTGGTGCTTGGTTAATTTTTAAAATTATTCAAATGAAATGAGAATCAGTATACTTTCAGAACTCTAACTTTTCTCCCAAGCGTGCAGCATTTCTGTGCTCATGCTGTAATTTATACACCTGTCAATATTAGTCTCTTCAATTAACAAGCTTATCTTTAGGAGCAGTATGTTTTCTGTTGCAGAAAGACCCTGAGTGAGATTTGATTGAGTCATGCAGACTTGTAGGATTAAAGTAAGATTAGCTTTCCTCTCTTTGTGTTGTATTATTATCCTTGGCTTCTGGACAACGTATGCACTCCAGATAAATTTATGCTGAGGTGGATGAAGAGTTCAAAACGTGCTGGATTTGCTGTTAGCTCCTACAAGCAGACTACCTTCTGCTAACCTGAAACTCTATTACAAGTCAGAAGTAACGTTCTCACCAAACCCGTGGTTTGATCCGTCTCTTTTAACAGTATCATTAGTTTTACTTTGGGTTTTTTTCCTCCATTAAAATGTGAAGATTTTATGCAACAGAAAGATTCCCTGGTTTGTTTGGACAAAACATATCATTAAATACATCATTAGCAGATAAATCTTTTTCTGGTTTATCTTCAAAACACATTTGTGCTCACATTTAAGACAGTAAAAGTTACACCACAAAGTCACGATTTGTTGTGTGGAACTTAAGATGCAGGCAGACACGAGGACTTGAACGCAAAACAAAACTGATTTAATGAATGACAAAAGAAAAAGGCTGACGTGGCAGCAAAAATACAAAAGATAACATGGACAGAGACGAGGCATGAAAGGCAATGGGCCTCGTGCAAGAACCGTTCGTACGCACAGATTTGTTCTTAAATTGTGCGTACGAGTGATTTAGGAGAACTTGTGGCATTCACCAATGTTTTCGTATTCTACGATTTTTTTCAGATACAAACAAAATTCACGAGTGGTCCAGACCTGTCGTATATTTTACGAGCAGTCAGTCTGCTGTTATCCAGATGGATTTTCTTCATTAATAACTTTATATTTCATTAGTTTGAAGATATTTTGAGTTGAAAATAAATTACACTCCATAATTATGTTGACAATAGGCTATTCTGCTTGAATTAGAGTTATTATTTTAAATGTAATAATTTAGACTAACAATATAAATTGTCCATCCATCCGTTTTCTGCCGCTTATCCGGGATCGGGTCGTGGGGGGCAGCAGGAGACCCCGCTCTCCCCAGCGACACCTTCCAGCTCGTCCTGGGGGACTCCGAGACGGCCAGAGGAGATACATAATCCCTCCAGCAAGTCCTGGGTTTTCTCCAAAGTGCCAGACATATTTTGAAAACATTTTAAAATGCTTATTTCAGAACCACAACTGAGACCACCTGCGACCGCGCAGCACGGGGGTGGGGGGTGGGGGGTACAGTGCGCAGCGCTGCCACTTCTGAATAAATGAAAATGATTTAACACAGTTGTTTATATTTTTAGCAGCTCTTTTTATTCCACAGTTGACCTGCTAAAAATGACAGATTTTCTTTTCTGGATCTCTGACAGACGGACTTCAATCTCTGAACTCGTAAAGTTCTTCTTTTTAGTTTTCGCTGTCATTTTCATGAATGGACACTTCCTTGTATCTGAGGCAGGAAAAATAGACTTATATGATGTTTTTGGGGTGGTAATTATGCTAATCTCCTCTCACGTGCACGAGCAGCTGATTCGAACAAGTGTAATTCATTTACACACTTTTCCTGAAGATAGAAGAGTTTGTTGAATCTGACGTGGCATGTTCGTATGAAGGGTTCGTATGAACAAAAGTAGGAGAAATTTAGGATAAGAAAACAAACATGTTCTTGCATGAGGCCCAATGATCCAACCGGGTGATGAAGACATTACACTTGTTAAATACAACTGAGGATGATTTGGGAGTGGAAGCACATGAGTGATTACTGACTATGGACAGGTGAGTGTGGCAGGCTGGAAAAATACTAAGCTGCTGAGGATAACATGAAACAGGAAATGGAGAAAACTAACAGGAAATGAGAAAATAAGACACAAGATGACCAAACAAATGAAACAGAAAATTCTAATAAAATGAACCATAAAAAACAAGAATCATGACACACAAGCCATGTTTCCATGCAACTGTAAAGCAAATTTTGAGCAAACCTTTAAAATGCTACAAAAATAAAATAAAATAAAGAAAATTAGGTGTGTTCCCATCTACTGGTTGGAGCAAATCAACCAGGCTATACAGTTTTATCAGATGTTTAAAATAAGCAGGAAGTGGAGGTTGCAAAGTGGCAGGTATCAAACTAGGGACAATTGAGAGACATTTTCAGGAATCTGTTGCTACTGAGCAATTGTTCTGTCATATCAACTCATACTGGCCATTTTATATGCTGTCTGGAGATGTAGAGAAAGAAATGCAATTCTTATGGGAATATCAGAGAAGACGCCAAAAGTAGAAACAGCCGACCAGTCATGTGAGGTAAATGTTCACTATGTCAGAACTTATTTGTTAAATGTGTTTCCATCTCCACTTTTACACATTAACTCGTTTTTGAAAAATCCAAAACTTACCATGAGTGAGCGTAAAAAATATGTTTTTGCAAAATTGAGAATTTTTTTTCGAATATTGCCCTTTCCATCAACCTTTTCTAATACTTCAAAATGTGTATAAAAATTAAAAATAAACATTGAAAGAGACAAGGCTACAACCACAACTGAATGTTCTTTTTTTTTTTTTTTCCAACTGAGGAACACAAATGTTGGCATTGGATGGAAAATATTTTTTATCATAAATTCTACTTTAACAACTGAATTTTTAAAACTGTTTTCATTTTCCAATCTGTCTCCAACACCATGCTTCACAAGTCAAGACTAAAAGCCATGAGAGGATTCCAACTGGGCTGCCTCACAATAACTTCTGCAATTCTTGAGTTCAGAGAAGCAAGCCTTTGTGTTTTTTTAATACTCTATCAAATATTACATAAGCTACAGTGAAGGTCAATAAACACTGGCAGTGGGTGCATTACAAGTTTGCATTAAAAAGATGTGGGTGATCAGTTCTCATAGCCCACTGTTGACAGACTGTAGCTGTGATTAATTCTGCAGCCTTGGCATGACACAGCTGTCACGCTGACTGAGGCTGCAGTTAAGGCGGTCTTCCTCTTGCTATGCTTGTGACACAGTCATAAAAAAAACTGTTTAAAAAGCTTGAAACATACAGTTTTCTCTCTGTGTGTGTGTGAACTGAGTGGTGTTCCTGGGTGAAAAATAGTAAGAAAGGTCATATTCATTGGCATTCCTGGTGTCGATGACAGACCTCTCTTTCAAAGCAGCAGAAAGGCAGCAACTGAAGTGTGAAAAATAACATAATCCAGCCTCAGCTTTACCTGCCAGATTCAGGCGAAACTGCAGCAGAGTCTGTCAATGATACCATCACTCATCTACTCTTTACAGGTAATAAAAAGTAACAGGATGTCATCAGTCATTACAATCTCTATAGAGCTTCCTTTGATTAAGGAATACAACAATATAACCATAAAATAACTTTAGTCTTTACAGAGGAATGCAGGAGTTATTGCGAGAGAGTGAAAATGGTTGAATAATAAAATCGTACAGCCCCAGGCAACAAACAAACAAAATAAATAAATAAATAAACTACCTACTTTTTACCAAGTAGGACGTAGACATGGGTGAAGTGTAAGACCTTCTGTTGCTAAATTTTTGCATAATTTTCTGGTTGTTTCTTCTTTTTCTTTTTCATATTTATTGTGAGATTATTTTTAATAATTTACATTGTTTTGTGTTTGTATCTTAGTGTTGCATTATAGTAAATAAAATATCATATAAATATAATATTATATAAAATTGATCATTTTGCATTCCTTCTGACTCTGATAATAAATACAGATCACAACAGAAGATCTTTCCTGCCTACAGCCATCATCACCATCTACATTAAGTCTTTTGTTAAATGAGTTACAACATTTCATTTCCCTTTGGGATCAATAAAGTAATTTTGAATTGAATTGAAGTATTTGTTTCTATCTTTCATTTACTATCCTGGTTATTATTATTATTATTATTATCATTATTATTATTATTATTATTATTAGTCATTTCCATCCATCACATTGTCTGTTTAGCCGCCATTCGTGCTGCTTGAAACTTTGAGCCTAAAGAAAAAAGCAATAAAAACATCATTACGTCATTTTGTTTAGTACAAAATGTTCTTTCCTGTGAAACACACCCTGGGCAGCCCTTCTCTTAAATATGACTTTATTTCTGTGGATTACAAATCTCTGAGCATCAGGGAAGGTTGGACGATGTTGTTAAATTCTGAACGTTTGTCTCTGTGGTTTTTGAACAATTTACAGCAATTAACTGCTCACTGAGCTGTACTTTGTTTTGGTCAGTTGTTTTCAGGTAAAGTGGTCTCCTGTGTAATTGCATCTTTTCGGCTTAAATAACATTTTAAACATCCTCATAGGTTTTGTACCGTTTGATTCAACAGAACGGATCATGATCTGAAAAATGGGCAATGGCAGGGATTTTAGCTCGGAGCACGGTGAAGATGAGGAACAGCGTGGTGTTGAGATAAACGCACTGATTGAGCCGCTGCGATGTGAAGAAGCTGACAGTGAGGATGAGTTTTTACCTCGAGCGGTGCCTCCTTCGCCTTGCAGGTATCGATTGCGGTCTGATCCGATGCCGCGGGGATCTGTGTGAGAGAAGACTGTTTATTTTTTTGCCGAGTAACTTTTCACTCAACTGTTTCAGTGTCACATCAGCCTTAAGAAGACAGTTCTCAAAAATAAATAACCTTCCTGCTGAGTGAGCTGCCTGCTTTCTCACTGTATGAGATGTATTTCTTTATTTATTGTTGGGCCCTGTGGGTTTTTTTTTCAGCCTCACCTTGATATCTTTCAGAAACAGCCTCTTAAAGAATCACCATGAATGTGTTGATCTCAGAAGAAAGAGATGAATAAATATTCCAAAGGAATCCACTTTTTTCCAAGAAATGTGCCAAGTGTGGCCTTGATTCAAGCAAGCCTTCGTTTATTGTAAAGACGATGATGGTTTTATAATAATAAATGTTTCTTACTTCATCTAACAAAGGTTTAAATGTTTATGATGCCGTTTTTTCCACAGTGTTATATTCTACTAAACTAAGCTGCACTAGAGACTAGAGAAATTGCATTTCCTGCAATGCTAGTGTTAATGCTTATTTATGAAAACTTCAGCTTAAAGCTGCTGAAATGAAGCTGAAAATGTTGGATAGTAAAGCTGTTAGTTCAATTTGAAAAGTTAAAAAGAAGAACAAAAAAAGCAAAAACTAGCAGAAGAATAGTAGAATAATAGCTGAAATAGCAGAAAAAAGCTAGAATTAGCGTAAAAAGCTAAAGGTAGCAGACATGTTGAAATTTGCACCCAGATTGTGAAAGAGGTGTTAAAAAAAATCAAATTAGTAAGGAAAAAATAACAAAAGTACAAAAAAATGGACAATTTGTTTTATTTGGATTGGAGGTGAAAACAGTTCCATTCATTTTCGATGGGAAAAAATGTTCCCAAAAAGTGAAACAGCTAAAAAAATAAATAAATAAATAAAATAGTATAAATAGCCGAAATTTCAAAATTCATAGCCGGAACGTCCTGAAGGATCTGAATGTTTTGATACATGAAATGTTAAAATTGCACAAAAATTGAGGAACGAGATATGTGCCAAAAAACGTCTGGAAGAAAAAAAATGGTCTGACTGACAAAGTGTGATCTGCATGTTTAAGTAATAAAAACAAGCCATCACACAAGTTTACCATTTTGGCTAGCAGTTGAACAACACTTCCCTCTTTCCCACCTGTCAGCATGTCAAAGAAATGATTTGCACTGCAGGTTCAGAAAATACTGCAAACCTTGCCTGGGGGAAGCAGCTATGACACGTTTGGTCACTCACTGTGTGTTACTAAGCTTAAACGTGAAAAATACTAGTTTGGTGAATTGGATTTGTCTCTCTCTCTCTTCAAATATATCAAGTCTCAATCCTAACTTCATTATATTGCCTGACCTGATTTCCACAGTATTTATTGAAGCCCAGTTGCTGTTCTGGGTCAGCAGCAGGCAGGTCATCAAATCTCTGTCTGCCCTTGTTGTTTCACCACAATAAGATGGCGACTAGATGTGGAACAGGTTGCAAACAGTGTTGCTCTTTAGTTTGTGGTCATGAGGGGTTAGTGGTTCAGATATTCCCCATTAAATAGGTCATAACTTCTATAATGTGCACTCCCAGGCCAAAGAAAAGGTCACACTGATATTTTGTTGGACTGCTTTGATTACGGCACACATTCTCTGTGGCATTGTTTCGATAAGCTTCTGCAATGTCGCAAGATTTATTTCCATCCAGTGTTGCATTAATTTTTCACAAAGATCTTGCATTGATGATTGCAGAGTCTGACCGCTGCGCAAAGCCTTCTCCAGCACATCCCAAAGATTCTTAAGACTCTGTGGAGCCAACCCATGTGTGGAAATGTCTCATGCTCCCTGAACCACTCTTTCACAATAAGAGCCCTTTGAATCCTGGCATTGTCATCTTTGAAAATGGCCATGCCATAAGGGAAGAAACAATCTATGGATGGAATAACCTGGGGCCTCATGAACAAAGACTTGCATGGATTTCTTACTAAAACCTGACGTACGGTCAAATCCAGAAAACGGCGTACGCACAAAAAAATCCAGATGTATCAAACTGTGCGTACGCCTGAATCCACGCACATTGCTTTTGTGCATCACAATTAACATGGAACTGAGCGCAGGTAAGACACCTCCCCTGACACGCCTTCATTAACATATGTTAAACAGATGGAAATTACTTCCTGCATGTGTGAAGAACATGTTTGAGTGATCCCTGCGCGATCAGAAATGATTTCTAGAGTCATAAAAATAACGAATTAAATATAATGTGAGTGAGAAAAAATCCTAAGTAAAAATAGAAATAAAATATGTTTATCACGCAAAGAACGAGTGATTGTGTGTCTGTGTGTGTGTGCACGCAGCTGTGTTGCGAAACCGGCTCATATCATTCTGAGTCTGAAAATATTAACTTTACGCACAAGTTTATTACCGTAATTACTGTAAACACAAAGGAACTTAAATGTTTGGTAGAACATAGATCTTTGTTTGTTTCATAGCTGATATTAAGAAACAATCTTTGCCTCAGTAGAGTTTTCATGACGTGACGTGATGTTAGAGAGTCTCCACAAACGCTGCGTGCGCCGCAGCCTTTGTGTGCAGTCTGTTTGTCTGTCAAGCTTTGGCTCTCCTACTTACAGCATTTTCACAAGTTGTAAAGTGTACTTCCACGTGTCATTTTGGAGAAATCTACAACAGCCACTCGTCATCAGAAAATTCTATCTGTTTATAAATAAATGCTCTGCGTGCTACACTATTATATCCTCCAGTAAGGCTGAATCCATTCCTGTTAAATGTATTTTTGGCACAACTTTGCGAGTCCTTTATTTAACTGCGTCCATGTGGACGAAATAATTGTTAATCATGTGGATGTAATAATTGTTAATCATGTGGATGTAATAATTGTTAATCATGTGGATGTAATAATTGTTAATCATGTGGATGTAATAATTGTTAATCATGGTGTGAACAATAATCATTTTCACATCATGAACAGTTTCTCAGAATCACCTCTAAGTGTCGCCAATGGAACCAGAACCACAGAAACGTGCGTACGCCAGCCCTGGAGTTGGCGTGGGGCTGCGCATATTTCCACGTTCAGTTGAGTTTTGATACATCTGGAGATTTGCGTGGATAATGACGTACGCAAGGGTTTGTGCGTACGCACCATTGATGCATGATGCCCCTGGTCATTCAGTATATTCAGGTAGTCAGCTGACCTCATTCTTTGAGCAGCTGAACCTAGACCTGACCAACTGCGGCAACCCCACATTATAGCACTGCCCCCACAGGCGTGTACAGTTGGTACTATGATGGGCGCATCACTTCACCTGCCTCTCTTCTTACCCTGTTGCTCCCATCACTCTGGAACGGGGTCAATCTGGACTCATCAAACCACACGACCTTCTTCTATTGGTCCAGAGTCCAATCTTTATGCTCCCTCGCAAATTAAATCCTTTTCTTCCAGTTAGCCAATGATTTAACCCTTCTCAAACAGACACATATTTTCTACAACCACAGGATGTCTCTTTTGACATGGTTGTTTAAGAAATGAGAAGCAAATAATTGCACCAGTTGGGGTTAAATAACTTGTTGCCAGCTGAAAGATAATCGCCCATGCAGTAATATCCAATAGGAGGCGCTACACCTCTCAGCTGCTGATTGTAAAATCCTGTTAATGAAAATTGCGTTGGTTCATTGTACAACTATTCTAATAAAATAAATAAATAAATAAATAAATAAATAAATAAATAAATAAATCAAAGTGTAAATAAGTCTTTTTCCCTTCTTTTTAAAAGTTCACTGCACCCATCAAATTATACTAATAAATTCAGTTTTTGGCTAAAGTTCACTAGGTCAAAAAATACATTTTTAAATACCAAAATGATATTGTTTAAATAAACACTTTTCTAAAAAAAATATGGAAACAGTAAAAGCAATACTTTGAACAAACTGCAATACCTCCAAGCATGACTTGGATTAACGTATTTTGAGTAGTGACAAATTTGTAGTCAAATTGCCTTCGTCAACAGCAGTGAAGGTCATTAACAACAGAATAAAATAAAAAAGAGAAAGTGCCAGGCATTTTAGTTTTAAATGCAGTCCATTTAGTAGTTCATTCTGAAATAACTCAACAAAAAGCTCTGACCCTTCTGATGAGAATCAGATAATTATGCTGCGCAAAATCATTCAAGACGTTTTCAGTAATTAAAAACAAAAGACACAACCAATTTATTAAAAGTCAAAGTGTTCAATAAAAGTGGAGAGCATGGAGGAGCCAGGGGTCTTCTGATGTTAAGCAACATCTTAATTTTATCTAACCCAGAGCCAAATAATTCAATGAGTCTGATCATCCTCTTTAACTCAGAAGCTGTCCATTAAGTGGAGTCTCTAAATCAAGCGATTCCATTCAGAGGTTTGACTTTGATGTTTACCTAAAGACAAGAAACTGTTCATTAAAAAGTTAACAAAAGAGGCAGACTCCCCTCGCTCACATCTCCACGCTGAGCCAACTGCCTGCCGGTAAACACACAGAGCAGCATCAAACCCTCTCACAATGCTCTACAGACATGCCAGAGTTTGGTGCAGCCAGAAAAAAAAAAGCTGCTAAGACTGCATTAACAGCTATTGATTTGTGCACAACTGCCCAGAAACAACAGCTCAATGTTAGGTTCACAGGTCCCTCCCTTTTAACTTAAGCTCATCCACATTCTTGCAGCTGTAGAATTCTGAAGTCTGGATATAAAAATCTGTCTTTAAAGTGGACAAATCGTTGCACTAGACTTGACTGCTTGTTGATCTAATTGATAATGCACAATAGTATTTTCAGATCCAAAACAAAGATTATTTGTGAGCAAAAAAGCACCTGATTACATTATCTTAGTACGAGTCAGAAAAGTCGATTTGAGGTGAGTTTTACCTGCTGGTAGTCGACCCCCCGGTCTGTAAAGTTCAACACATAGATCATTGCCCGGCCGCCTACGTAGAGCGTGTCGCTTCCTTCCTGGTGGTACATGCTGATGTAGTTCTCAGGTCTGTCGAAATGGTACCTGGGGGGCTCTGAAGGTGAAAACAAACAAAAAGAGAGATAAGCTTCAGTAAAGCACACTGGTTATTTTACTGTTTGGATTTATATTTTTACTGTAACATACATTTTTATAAAAACCAAGCAAGAATTTACTACGAAGACCAAACTCAAAACTATTGTGAAAAGCCAGGGAAAAAAAACAAGTTTTAGATGTTTTCCCAGCATCCTTTGCAGCTGACGTCAGTTCAGTCACAGAGTACAGTATTTCCTGGTTTTGTTGCAAAATAGAAAAGTGAAACAAAGACACGTCTTTGCCTTAATCTGGGGCTTAAAAATGTTATTTTATTGATAATAAGGTTTAACCATATGAACCAATTTAGCAAAAACACAATTTAAAAAGCTGAACTGCATTCTATTTACATCATATACCCGGAAATGGTAAATGGTAATGACGTCATTTCCCAAAAAAAAAAAACAAAAAACAAATGAAACTGCATTCCAGCTAGCCAACAGGTGATTGTATTGTTGCCGCTAACCTATTCAACACTGCTACAATACAAACAATGATAAAAACAGAGCTCTACTATCTATGTCATGCAAATAAACATTGATTTTAATTTGTACAGTATTGCACAGAAAACACACTACTTGTGTGAGTGATTAAATATGAACAAAAAATTAAGAAAGAAAATTAACAGTAAAATTCATGGGGTTAACTTTCTAAAGCTGGGAGTAGCAGCCATCTTGAAACTGAAACTGGGGCAGTTTCATTTCTTCCACTTTACGAGTGGAATATTACCACTGGAGGGGGCGTTCCAGTTTAAATCTTCCAATGAGAACAGGGAAATTACCACTTCCCAGGACTACTGGAACGCAGCAGTCACTGCCTTTTAACCCCACTCCACTCTGAACTTCCTGCTTCAAGTCAGAAGCCAATGTAGCTCCGCCTCCTGGCCTTCCATTAACTATTTTCTCTAAATTTACCACGAAAAGAGTCATGGACACTTTTGTCTGCGATCTATAAAGCATTTTCAGTACTTATATTTGTCATATTGTGCATGTAGGTTTGCAGAATTAAATCAAGTACTTAAACGAAATAACTTAGTAAAAGTAAAACTACCTTTGCAGTAAAATGACTGGTAAAAATTAATTTCACTGATAAGAAAAATACTTAAGTAAAAGCCTTAAAACGACTCATAATGATTGTGGGAAAAAAGTTTTAAAAAAGTACTTTTAATGTCAAAGAAAGGAAGTGTTAAATTTACTTGACCAAACTGGTTCTATAAATTTCTCAACTCAAGTTGGATTTACTAGAACCAGTTGACATAACTTGGTTAAGTATATTCAACAATTCATTTTTAGAGTGCATAAACAACTCCTTTTATAATGAGTTTGATCATATTTAAAATTGTAGCACATGACTAGATAATAAGAAGTAAAAGTATGATTTTTATGTTTTGAATGTTACAAATACAAGGAAAAGTTATGATAATAAAATACTTTTTTAAATTGAAAATCCTTAAAAACATTACCTAAGTCAGTGTTTCCAAAACCCTGGTCCTCAAGGCACACTGCCCTGCATGTTTTAGAAGTTTCCCTGCTTTAAAACACCTGATTCAGATGAAGGCAGTTCATCAAAAGCCTGTTAATCAGTTATCAATTGAAATCAGCCGTGTTGCAGCAGGGAAAATGAAAAACATGCAGGACAGTGTGCTTTGAGTACCAGAGTTGAAAAACACTGCCCTGAGTTACTGTAACAAAGTAAATGTACTTAGTTACTATGCAACTCTGACTGGACTGTAATATGTTAAATATAATCTGTTTAGATTCTGCAAAATTAATGTTAATTTAGCTTTTTTGTGTGTTTAGCTGAACTAAGATGTTGGTGAAGCTAATATTTTGTTTAGCTGTTTCAGCTGTGCCCACCACTGGTTTTATTTACTAAAATAAAATCAATGAGTCAATGTTTTTGAATAGTTTTAACTAAAAACATTATCTGGGATTACAATACCTGTTTTTTTGTTGTTGTTTTGTTGCAATATGAGCTTTTAATCATAATGTTCTATGTTTATGAAACGTTATAAAGGCTTTATAAAGTGCTCACAAACTCAACCTTTTCATTATTATTTTCAAAGGGGCAATATCATGTAAAATCAACTTTTTTGAACTTTACAGTATATCATGTTATAATGTTATCTTCTCATCAAAAACATGCCCAGAGTTTTACTTTGACTCATTCATGCATGTTTGAGAAACCCTGTAGTGTCCTGAGGCAGCGAGGCAGGGGAGCAAAAACAACTGGCTAGGACTAGAACCGCCTTTTGGGATCAGCTCCTCCTCTGGGCTGTGTCTCCAAGCTGAGCTTCCTCATCACAGAGCACACACACACACACACACACACACACAC